TGTGTAAATGCCAGCGTCTATTTACAGAAGGTTCAATGTAGTCAGTGTATACAGTTATATGCGTAACTATATGAGTTGCATATTTAGAGCAATATAGAATAGAATATTGCTGTGTAGTTCACATTGATTCCACTCCTTTAAAAGGCTGTTCTTACAGGGCTATGGTTATCATGGTTTTCTACGGCATCTTAGCATTTACAGCTATCAATCATATATTATCTCCTTACGGGTTCTACCATTCATTTATACAATGTCATCAGTTACATTAAACTTTGTTGTTTACAACAGTGCTACTCAATTCGGGTACGCGTACCACTGCCGGTGCGCGAGACATCGTCTGTCGGTACGCAGAGTGTTTTCAGCAAAACAAAGAAACAGTAGTTACATTCCACGCCTCGGAAGACTGCCAGAATATCTGAATTGGATAATATATATTTTTAACATTTTCATTTTAGTTTTATATTTATTCTGGTTACATTTTTCAATTTCTCACTCATGTTAAATGTCATTTCTATACAATATATAATAGGTAGCAAAACCGTGAACTGAAATACGAATAACAATGTCATTATGATGATGTGGCGCGTGACTGTGTGGGAACCACACACAAGAATGTCAAAAGGCCATTTCCATAGACATATATTTCTAATTTGGCCATTAAAAAATTCTCCTGGATAGCCACGTGGATTTTGTCCATTTTTTAAAAAATATTATTTAATCCTTTCGATACATAATCTAGCTGCCGAGCAGATTTTCAAATTTCGCTGTAAGCTTGTAACAACACAGACACATGCGTGCACTGCCCAAGCTGAATTAGAAATCTTCGTTCGCAGTTCCCTTGCACATAGAAAAAATGACGTTAAGTCACATCAGATAGTTTGAAAAGCGCCGGTCTACAATGTGTCATGTGTGTTACAAATTTTGCAAACTCTCGTTTATCATTATGTACCTCAGACCTATTAGACTGCGACCATTTGATTCAACATAAATATATACATTTATTTTCTTTAAACTTCCATTTACTAGCTTGTCCTGTACGTATTATTCACAGCATCCTCTTATAAAACAGATTTCCGTTGCCTCCAATATCTGTGTGGGAGTAATATTATATAGTGTTGAGCGGTCCTCCTCTTTTTACACAAATGGACTCACCCAGTATATATATATTGTGTTGTTACGTGAAGACCCGAGAGAGCAAAACCGGAAGAGCGAGAGAGGGGAGTGAAAGGTTATAGATAACCGGAAGAGTGAGAGTAAGGTAACAAACAGACAGACAGAGCGAACATAGCCAACAATAGTCACAGTGAGCTAATACGTTGACTCAGTAAGCAGTCATACAGCGATACTTCAATACCAAAGAGTGTATACAGATTTTGCTACTAACCCGTATTCCTAGAACTACTAACCTGCATTACCAGTTTGTATTACGTTAATACATTATTTTCCTATAATTATTCTTGGCGTTTGTTATTTATTGGTACCAGATTTTATCCCGGAATCCACAACATATAGCATTTCAGTATAAAAGTCGTTTCTAAAGAAAAAATTCATTTTTATTATGTTGTTTGGAATTTGGGGGACAACATTCACAAATTTAATCCTTCTTCAGCTTTGGGTATAATGCTTCTATCTTCTTTTTAGCATTTAAATTTAAAGTTTACATATTCAATTTGCAACTCACAACTTGGGATTTTCCTCTTGGTAACGCCCGTAGATGCTAATTTTTACAATTAATGGGTAGTCCTTTCTTCTCGCTTTCTTTTACTTTCATGCTAAGAGTTTATTTCTCTGTCTGCCCTCAACACCATGTTCATCTACGTATATCTTACGAAATAAAATAAAATTGTAAAACCTATTTCATTTTACACAATTCTTTGCGTTTTACGACCAGAATTTGTTTCCAAGGTTTACCGGGTCCAGACCATTAATAGCTAATATCTTAACTCCCGGACCATCAATTTTGAAGAAAATAGAACTTAATTTAAAATTATAGGATAAGATTGTCCGAATTAGATTTACGGTTCCTGCATCCTATATCTAAGGTTAAATGGAGTTGTTTTGTAGTGTGTATCTTTTCTCCATATAAATGGGAGTGGTTGTACACGATGCTATGTCACATGATCCGAAGTGTAATTGCTAAACTGATCAAATGGTAGAAGCGGCTTCATGTATTATCCGGGTACAATATACTTTGTGTATCTTGTTTCAATATTTTTTCGGGTATCTTATGTTGATATATGTTCCTTATATTCAAAATCATATATCACCCTCAAAAAATTCAATCGCCAACAATTATCTGTTCAGTTGCTCATGGCCCGCTCAACAGCTGATCTTGCCCACCGGTGGACGATATCGCCAAGGTTGGGAAACCATGCATTATGAGAAACTGACGCCTTTTGATATCTGCGATTGCAACGTCAGTTGTAATAAAACAGATTTCTATCAGTTGGTTTGATTAATAACCGCAAATTCACATCCTAACTAGCATATCTTTCAAAGATAAGATAGCTAATAATTATGGAAAAATTATGGATCTATGCTCAATAAATAAGTAGAGACATCCAGTGAAGGAACATGTATGAATTTTCCCTGGTGTAAAATATCATCCGTGCAATACATATGAATATGAACAGAAATAGAAAAATATATATGAACATAGATAAATTGATAGATAGTTATTTTGTCCTAAGTAACAGTTCTTGGAAACTGCTGACTCAAATGTCTTATCTACGAATGGATTATGTAGAAAACGTGACTGATTGGATTCTGTTCAAGTAGAATTGAAAGTCTAAATATAGTCGAACTGTAAATCTTTGAACTGGTGCAATAAAGAGTAAAGCGAATTGAACATTTCCATAGAGATTGCTATAGAGTATCGATAGGCCCGACAATTTGGCCTGTGGAGAAAGAGGCTGTAGAGTGGAAAATGTCATCCTCTATAAGACCGCGTACAAGAAGCTGAGTTCTTTCAAGAATGTAAAGAGCGAATTCGGCCACTCCTACCTAGGCATACAGCATATTAATCTAATTTCCCTCATGTAGCGATCAAGAAATCAGACATAGTCTTGAGTGATTCAAAGAGCTGAAACTATTTAAACACATTTCGCAATTATATATTCCACTTGAGATCTGGAACGAAATTGATGCTTAATAGCCGTTTCACTTATAGTTAATTCTGACAAGAGAATGTGCATGATCCTATCAGTGATGAATAAATGATATTAGCTTAGTATTAAAGGCATTGAAAATTACAATACATTGCCCCCATTGTGATATCCGAGTTAGGACAGAAGAGAGATCTGCTGTAAGCATCTGAACATCTTGTTTCATGCACTTGTTTCCATAAACGGTGATAACATCAGCATATAATACTGCTTATGATCTGGGAATTGTCATATCCTGTTAATTAATAAAATTGCAGTAAGATTGGAGAACGGCGAAGAGTGTAATGGAGAACTGCTGCATTTATATAATGGGCTTCAGAAGTCCAAGCATTAACAACAACTTTCATGGACATAACTGAAAAGAAGGTCCTGATATTTTATGAAGAGACTTCCAGAGATGATATACCCGGAGCTTTTGTGTTGCATCCGCCATTGTCTCGCATTATCAAAACCTTTTATTATGTCTAATCTCTTTACGTACCTACCCTCTATTGATTTACTGACTATATGTAATGAAAGTTACATCATCATCATTGGATATAGAAGAGCAAAACCCATACTGTTTATCGCACAATAGTTTGTTTTTTATAGAAATATCTGCACTGAACTTTTTTCTTAAGAGCATAACAAGCTTGCTGATTAATCTAATGAGGCTGAATGGCTGATTTACGATGGTTATATGAACTCACCTGCATTCTTAAATAGGGTGCTTATTGTTTGTATTATCAGTGAACTTGAGATAAAAGCACTTCAGATAGAAATTGAACACCTTCGCCATTATATGAGATTACACTAGGTTAAGGTTCTTATGAACGATAACTGAGATTTTATAGATATCAATAAATGAGGTAAAATCAAGATAGATAGATAATTTCATGTTTTATCTATAAAATGAGCAATGGTTAATATTGTAGTAGTATTTATAAGAATTGTTTCCATCTTGGTTGACATAAATGTTATAGAAAAAACTTTCCAACCAAGTACAATATAGCTATCATTAGGTGTCCATTATTGATTGGCGCTTTTTATTATTTACGGTAAGTTCCATCCTATACAAGTCCCGGGACCACTAGAAGCAAAGGGATACGTTAGTGGGTAATTTGTACAGATAGGAGGGGATGATAACTGTTAACCCTAGACTTGAACAGGTTAAGATTGTAGTAAATGGGGAAACAACGTCATGGGGATCTCTTCCACAGAGAAGTGGTTCACAGAAGAAGCTGATCGAATGAGACTTACTTCTCACCGATGGAATCCGGAGGGAATTCGGGTGATTTGCTACAATGTAAGTGGCATGGCAGGCCGAAGTCGTGAAGATTAGATCTGACGGGACCAAGGAATATTGTTTGTCAGTGCAGTTTTCTTGGAAGTACAGTTAGATCAGTGATAGGCTCGCCACACCCAACCCGTGAGTGATAGGTTAGATTGTGGATAATAATTCATCAAGCACAAGGACTCAGAGACGCTTTTGAACTCTATCATGACTGGAAAATAATGACAGTGTAGCTATCGCCCAGGTATGACAACATTCAACTATTTTTAACCTGATCTGGCACTAGTAAATGTAGAAGATACCATGAGGAATCAGGTACTTACAGCAACGGTACAGTGGGATGATATTTTACCTGTATCTTTAGCGATGGATCTTATGTACGAATTCAACTTGAGGTCAGATGTCTGTTACAGGCCCAGTATTCTCACAAAGCATTGTGCTAATTCGAGGGGACATACGTTCGTCGTTAGTGGATGTAGTCTGTTGTCCTAATGGCGGTAATGGAATGTAACTAGTTTGATATGGGATATATGTGGATTATTTTGTTATAGTACATCAGTTGATTATTGTGGTATTCCGAAAATAGATAGATAGATAGATAGATAGATAGATAGATAGATATAGGTATGAACAGAGATAGATACGGGCCCGCAAAAGAGATAGATAGATAGATAGATAGATAGATAGATAGATAGATAGATAGATAGATATAGGTATGAACAGAGATAGATACGGGCACGCAAAAGAGATAGATAGATATGAACATAGATAGATAGATAGATAGATAGAGATATAGATAGATAGATAGATAGATAGATAGATAGATAGATAGATAGATAGATATGAACAGAGATAGATACGGGCACGCAAAAGAGATAGATAGATAGATAGATAGATATAGATAGATAGATAGATAGATAGATAGATAGATAGATAGATAGATAGATATAGGTATGAACAGAGATAGATACGGGCACGCAAAAGGGAGAGATAGATATGAACATAGATAGATAGATAGATAGATAGATAGATAGATAGATAGATAGATAGATATAGGTATGAACAGAGATAGATACGGGCCCGCAAAAGAGATAGATAGATAGATAGATAGATAGATAGATAGATATAGGTATGAACAGAGATAGATACGGGCACGCAAAAGATAGATAGATAGATAGATAGATAGATAGATAGATAGATAGATAGATAGATAGATATAGGTATGAACAGAGATAGATACGGGCACGCAAAAGGAGAGATAGATAGATAGATAGATAGATAGATAGATAGATAGATAGATAGATAGATAGATAGATAGATAGATGTATGAACAGAGATAGATACGGGCACGCAAAAGAGAGAGATAGATATGTATGGATAGATATTATAAGAAACATGAATACAAAGGAAACAAAGCGAAATGAAAAACCAGGCGTTGGCAGATACATTTTATTAATTGATACTCCTTATAAAATATGTTTAGATAGATAGATAGATAGATAGATAGATAGATAGATGACACATAGAGATAGATATGAACAGAGATACAGACGTAGAAAGATAGAAAGACAGAGAGACAGACAAAAGACAGAGACAGAGATTTGAGCAAAAATAGATAGATAGATATATAGATAAATAGATAGATAGATCATATGTGAAAATTTAGAAATCCAGAACCAAGTTATATCTTACAAAAATATGGGCGCCAGTAAAATAACCTATGTAGAAGTAACCAGATAAAAAATGAAAGGAACAAATGAAACACTATCACTAAATAAGGTGTATAAAAACATAAGAAAAAAAGAAGTTAAAAAGAACAACACACTGAAATCAAGTAAAACAAACGGGGAAAAGATCATCAGAAAACAAGATGAAACAGATAAGGAATATAAAAAAGACGAGATGACAAAAGAGTGGACAGAAGGATTTCTGTAGATGAATACCTGAAGGAATACCTATAATGAAAAGACTACTATTCTTGTTAAAAAGCTTAATAGAAGATGTAATATGAAACCAAAAATTAAAATAAAGATATCTTACATTGCTTTGTTACGTTGGAAATTATTTTCCTTATTCTCTATGTAATTCATATCTTTTCTCAGATATACAATAATACATAAATAAGGGAAAGCACAAAAATGAATACATAAAAAGCCACTACACGAATAAAAGTAAAATGATTTCGTCAAACAAATTATTTTCTATAGTTATAGATGCAGCTGTTTGAACACATGAATGATATGTGAAAAACATTTTCGCTGCAGATATATGCAGTAAATTACATGTAAAATAGAGGCATCTGGAGTTTCTTGTAATGGATATAAAACTTCAAATTTTATCAAATTATTAAATATGTCTCGTAAAATAAATTATTATTATTATTATTATTATTTTCTTTCTTTCTTTCTTTCTTTATTTATTTATTTATTTACGTTTCCTGCTTTGTATCATGTAAATCCTTGACTAAACTATGGTCATTAGGCCCAATAGGAGAATTGGCATTTAATTGGTAGCCCTTTCATTAGTATATGAGATGGGCGATCTTCTGGGTAAATTGTATGTTAATGTTACATGGGATATTGTTTGCAAAATTATTCATTCCTTTTCTCACGAGGCCCAGAGATCGGATTATTATGAGCACAGTATTCACTCCCCACGTGTTGTTAATCTCCAGGTCCTCATATTTGGACAATTTCTCGATAATTTTCATAGGGTTGTTTCTATCAGATGGTACTGCTATGTCAATAAGCATTTACTTCCTGAATTCTTTTATAATAATATATGGTCTGTTGGCTGTTATTTACCTGTCAGTTTGAATTGGTATGTTCCGTTATCGTTATTTTGGGTAACCGAGTATGGTCGGCGGTCATACAATCTCTCAGTTCTTTTGGTTCGGTGCATACCTTCCAGGGCACGTATGTTGTTACCTTGTTATGTAAGTTGGTATATAAATTTTTGTTATTTCCGGACAACCTAAGTTAATATGGTCGAAAGTTCCATCACATTTTACACAGATCCTGCATTTCGTATTATTTCGATCCTTGAATATGTAAAAGTGACAGAATCTGGATGCGAGGCCCTGGTACGGAACTGCAACAATTTAGCCTTCTGCCTCAGTTTCAACCTGATGCTTACGCAGTCTCTGATGTGTTTTCTGTTGATCTACATCTGCTTCTTTGTTGTTTCTTTTAAGTATTTGCCATGCAACGTCTTGTCTCCCCCGGAATCATTTTTGTAATTTCATTTGGCCAAGTGCTTTTGCTTTCCATGCTACTCGTTTGACGTAGTTAGTATTCGTTTTGTTTTTTTGTTGGTAGGAGGTAAGGCACATTAAGCTTTTTTTTCAGAGTGCAGCTGCTTTGTTGATGAAGGGGTTTTCATGTTTTACTATTTGTAGAAGAAGTGCTTTGGTTTTTGTGAGGAATGCTTCTAATCTGATGTTTGTTTTTTTAGAGGTAGTCCAAGTTGGATAAGACCTCAGCCTCCTAAAGCTCTTAGTACGTACAGCCTAACAACATCTGATTTCCGGTGTTGCATCCTCGTTTATGGAAGCATTTTACTGTCTTTTTACGTCAAAACGTTTAATGTCATTCAACTTCCATTTATCAATGTTGAATCTGCATTTTACTACGGGTATAGCTAAAGGATTGATAGCTTTCATTTTATTGGCGCATTAAGTTCGCTTTCTAGCATCAAACCCACTCTACTGTAATCTTCTTCTCAGGTTTTTTTTCTTCATTGTTATATGTCGTATTTAGTTGTTTGTTTTTTTTCGTTAATTCCATTGTATTTGTATGTACCATCTTTGTGTATTTCCTTAATGTTCTTTTTGATATCAAGGTCCAAATCTGAAGTTTCCGTTAGTTTACCGCCTTTGAAGGTGGTCTTGGCACATTTTCTGATTCAAAGCTTCGTCTTAATGTCTTTAATAAAGATTTTGACGATGGTGAGTATGGCTTTCTGTTGGTTGTTATCCGTAGCAAACGTCTTAAGATCATCAATATAGAATAAGATTACTTATTTTGTCATTCTGTACCTTCTTTCTGTAGCTACTATTGTTCAGGCACTATGAGTAGTAGTGATAATGAATCTCCTTGGAAGATCCCACTTTTGATCTCGAATGGTCTCGACGTTGATGATCCGTTTGTATGGATTAGTTTTAATGTGACCATTCAGTTTTTCATGCTCTTCGTTATGAATTTGGACGTTGTGGTGCATACTCTCTATATTGTTAGGCCCCCCTCTATCCATGATTGTGGTACAGTTTCGAACGCCTTTCTGTGGTCGATCCAGGCTATCGATAAGATTCTGTTCCATGTTTTCAATTCTTCCAATATTGTTTTATGGATAATTACTTGGTCTTTGCATTCGTAATTTCCTCTTTTATATTCCATCTCTTCTACTGTGAGCCAATATTTTTTCTCAAGGAAGTTGTACTTCCTTTTCGTTATGATAGTATGGACGCTCTTGTACATTGGTGGTAGTTAGGTAATGGACCTATAGTTCATTCGGTTCTACGTCTCTTCTGTTTTTGTGAGTAGGTATGTTACTCCCAACGTCAGCCATTTGCAGATGACAACTGTTGTTACAGCAATATTCATATCCGTCCATTTTTGGTACTCTATGTATATGTGTGTTGTTGCTGTTTTTGCTCTATGTAGCTCTTTCGTTGTGAATTTTGCAGTTTTCCCACATCTTACACCAGAACATCTTGACTTGGATATTAGGCGGGTCATTTATCTCTGTTTTATTTTTATCCAAGTTCTTGGCATAGTTTCTTGGATCTTCTTTGAAGATCTTGATTTTCCAGAAGAATCTGTTTCTTCTTTTCATATTGCCTGAATCTGTGCCTTCGCTTGAAATTTTGTTTTAGCTTCTCTTTAACTTTTGAAACGTCAGTCTTATTCTTTATGTCAAGGCTTCGTTTCAATTGACTGCTTTTCCCCCTTTCATTTTAGCGCCCTTGTCTACTTCACTTAGAAGTGACAATTGACCTCGTAGATTATTTATTTCTGTTTCTATTTTTTCTTTCCCGATTGTCATTTTTGTTTTTCATTTACGATGTGTTTTTAATTTTTCACCTATTGTTTCTGTGATCGTTGCCGAGGCGTCGTATATAAGATGATTAATTTCTGGCAGGTCCATCGGTTTTTCCATTTGCTCCCTTATTTTTCTATTTGCTTGCTTAGCGAAGTTGATGGTTTTCTTCACTTTACGGTTCTTTGTTACATTTGGAATTGTTGGCCTTTCTTCGAAAGACATTTTCTTTACATTCTTGGATGTTTCTGTCATCTCTCTTCCGCTCTCATATTCGTCATTATCTTCCTCTGTTTGCTTGTGTACATCAGATTATTACAACTGGTTTCTGTTTGTTCGTCTCTATGTGTCACCTTTCAGTTGTTATTATTTAGCCGCTCGATGTTAACTTTTAATCTATTTTTGATGTTTTCTCGGATGCTTTCGAGTTCAATATCAGGTAATCTTTTTTTCTGATGATGTTACGCTTGATATTGACTATTTTCTGATATCGATGTTTAGTTTGTTTGAGGGATGTTTTCCGCCATATGTTATCGGTGGCTTTGGCCGTTGTTGTCGTACTCGAATTGATCGTATCATTATAAAATGCCATCATTACTTCAATATACTTTTCCTTAGACAATTCATTTACTGTTCTTCTTGTGGGATATTATTTTAATGCATATAGTGGGCCTCTGTCAGGTCTGGCCTCGGCCTGATTTTTCTCTAGTTCTCGTTGAGTAGAATTTGTTCGAGTTACAGACTTTTCAATCTCAGTCTTGTTCCTCACTGGGGATCATGTTCCTATTTGACCCGCGCGTTTACCGATGCGGTTCAGCAATATTGTTTTTTGCTGTCTCAGCATCATAGCCAGTTCGTATTTACACATACATGGGAGCTGGTTCGTGGGTGCCAGATCATGTCCATCTCATAGGGTGCCATCACGTTTAGGGGGCCAGGCCTCGTTTTGCTATATTCTAATTTCTTTTTTTAATATTATTTTACTATTCCTATTATTAAGAAAAACGGCAAAATCTTCATTTATATGCGTTTGTATCCCAAGTAGACACGACGTGATTCACGAGACTCCAACTTATCTTCCATTTTCAACGTAAGTTTTTTTGACTTTACCTCTTCTACTCTAAATTTTTCAATGATATGAAAAATATTTACATCTCCCTAATCCTGTTTTTACACGAATATATTTTATTCGTGAATACAATTAATATATAGATACTAATAATATTTAAAGAATATTTTATTATATATATATTTGCATTGTATAACTTATAAAATAAAAATTGGATATTATTTACTAATAAATAAATTATAATAATAATTATTATTACTATTAATAATATTATTATTTCATTGATTTCTG